TTGTCATAGCCGGCGCCATCAGCTGACTAGCGAGCCTTAGGCCCAAGACAGCGGTGGAGAATTAATTCCCGGGGGTTAAAGCACAGACGGGGTGTTGGTTCATGCACTAGTAGTACGCCTACACTCTCCCCCGCAAGGGATTCTTCTGCCAACACCTACTAGTACTGGCACAAGTCATGGATGCAATGCAACGCCACCAGTTTAATTCACATTGTGGATCCGACGGAAAAAACGGATCCCAATCAGTGCCCTGAAGGTCTCAAGGCTCCACATTCAGTATAGGTACCTGCGATATTTCCGATGTTTGTTTTTTTTTTTCCCTCATCAATCAACACTCGGCCAGAGTAGGGCTCGGCAGATCGAAGACCCAACAATACACAGCCACAACTTGCTTGGAAGATTCCCCGGCCATATCACGAATATAACCTCGATCAGAAGATCAATATGCATATCAAGGGGTACACCTGGAAGAAGAGATAACCACTGGTACTTACTCCCTCATCCCAAGTCTGCGACTGGAGGGTGAAGTCCCGATCTGAATGTCCTATGGGTTGGTCGCAATGTTGGGGCTTCGGTTTATTTTATCTCTACTCAGATCCCTAGCGTAACCATCATGGATCCTTCGTGCAATAAGAAAAATATTATTATGCAACATTCCTGACCGCCAACCAAGATAATTGACACAAAAATGCGGTCATCGTTCAGGTCGGTTTGGCAAAAACTTCCCCGGGCTTCGTTGGAGACCGACTTGATTGTTTTTCCTCCTCCGTCTCCTCACTCTCGTGTGGGTCGGCTCGATCCTCGATCCACTGGAACACCTCTTCTTTGTGATGCACCAGCATCTCACTCAGTCCTGACTTGCTAGACTGGATCAAGTGCCCGTAGCGCTTCGAGGGTTTACGTCGGTTTTCAACGGTGTTCCAAACCCCGTGGGTGTGCGAAACGAACACAAGAGAATTCTGCTTTCACATCAGTACCGCTTCAAGACGGAAACTAAAATGTCAGAACAAACTGGAGCGCATACATCTTTGTACCATCTTGACAGCCAAACCTGGGTATGAGAGGCAATCGCTCGGACTGGGTTTTCGGCAACAAATGATATAACGCCATTCACTCGTTTATACAACGTATCTATTTCCATATGAGCGATGATGGTCCACGTGGAAACGAAAGCATTTACCTCTATTGATCAAAAGATTGGCGACTCCGTAGAAAGCATTGCCGATTCCAAGAAAGAAGATTTCCGTGGCCTCATTGGGTCTACATCGGTTATTAGCTGTTGGGTCACAACCCATTGGCATCTTTGTCCCACTCACTCAATGTAGTTGTCCCAGAGGTATGCGGCCAGTTCCTCGGTCGCGGTGGGGCGGTTCTCTTCCTCGTCTTCATATTTCCCGGACTAGACAGACACGTTAATCGAAGTATAGGGATTAAAGCAAGGCGGGCACTCACGGGCTCGATCGTCACATGCTTTGGGATATTGACATCCATCACAGCATACCCTTTTCCAACGGCCCATCCGATATAGTCCTTCATGGAATCAGCCTTCCCAAGTTAGTATGCTTTAAACATTCTAAGAGGGGTCCACGTACAAGCCAGCAGTTGTGGGCTTCCAACTTGTTCGTAACAGGATGAGGTAATCCCATGATTTCCGGTCTATTGAATAGTCAGGCTAACTTGGCCGTCTCAGTTCGCGGGATATGACTAACGGATCATGGAATATAACTAGGAGTGGATTGCGTTGGTAATAATTCGGCGTGGCCAGAACTTGGTTCTCGAAGGACTTGGAGATGGCAGTTCGGTAAATGTAAAGTGAGGTGAGCTTGTAGTTTTCGTAGAGTCGTTTGGACTGGTAAGCACGAATGACATCTAAAGACTTTGTTACCCCCAATGCAGCCACTGATACTCTTGCCTTTTCTACCTACCATGTAGCCTATCTGTCCAGAGTCCCTCCTCCTGCGGCGCTTTCGGGTACATGCAACTCCAGAATTGCGACTGGATCATCATGACTCGTCTCACTGTAGTCGTTGCGAGTTTTGAAGGGAGGGTTGAATGAAGCCGGTCAGGTGGGTCCCCCATAAGGGTCTTCGTGACTGCGAGTGCAGACTTCGAGATTGATCTGAAATTGTAGCCGCCCTACGACGATCAGTGTCAGGCCAAACGGTTGATCACGGCACCAGAGTATGTTTAGCTTTACCTCTAGGCAAACAGCAACCTTTCCATTTGCAAGGGTCATAAGCATATGTGTCATGTGAGCATAGCAGGTGGGTGTAACAAAACAACCTCCGAGCTCGTCACCCACAGCAGCATCGAAGCCAGAGGCGACTATAACACATTAGAACCCAAATTTTCCTCTTTCTGATTCCGGGCCATCGAAAGATAGTTTACATACCTATGACCAAATCGGGGTTGAATTCCTGTGCAATGGGCATCACGACTTGCTGAAAGGCGTACATGTAGTCGCCATCGCCCATTCCCTGACTCGGCCAAGGTATGTTCACGTTTCTATACTATATTATTAGCGTTGAAACGTAGGTAACAGATCTCAGGTATGAAATTCCATACCGTCCATAGCCAGCACCAGCACCGCAGTGGTCCCAGTCACCTTCGTCCCCTCCAGGGTAGAATTTCCCATCCTGATACACATGGAGTGAGATATATAAGACATTAGGGTCATCGTAGAATGCCTTCTGGATACCGTTGCCTATATCGTGTAAGCGTCTGTTTCCTGTAACATAGATACTTTATATGTCAACGCTTTACCATGATGAACATCCCTAAGCTGATCAGTACTACCTCCTAAGCCAGTGCGTCATGTCTTGAGTACTCACCAATCAAGAATGAGGATCTTTCTGCAATTTTCTCCTAACTGTTTCTGACATACACGAGCCGCTACAGATACGTTGTTGAACAGGCAGAATCCCATAGTTTTGTCATGTTCAGCATGGTGCCCTGGTGGCCGAATAACAGCAATAGCGTTCTTCACTTTCCGTGTGGCAACAGCTAAGCATGTTTCAATTGCTCCTCCAACGGACAATAGTGAAGATGCGAAGGTCAACTTATTGAAGTATATCGAATCACGAGTATGTTCAAGCGCAATAAGTTCATCATCAGTCATATCTGTCAGATCAGTCAGGGACGTCTACAATTTCTAAATGAAACTATCTTTTACCTTTTGTACTTTCAACAAATGCAAAATGATCCGGTGTGTGGACAAGAGATATTTCTTCCTCGGTAGCATTGCGGACACTAATCCGTTTCATAGGTCGTGAGACAAGTGGCCTGGATGATTCTGGGTCGTCAACGAGCCCGGCTCGGCATAGCTCCTTGTAGATATAATAGATTCTCCTCGGATCCTCTGGGTGGACATCTGCCGTTGGGCGCACTTCACAATGGTAGCGCATCTGGACGTCATAACACAGACCAGAAGGAAGTTGAGCAATGGGAAGGCCTCTAATGGCAACGGCATCTTCACCCTCGGACCATTCGGAGTTTTCCTCAACAAGACTATCATTTAGCTGGACGAGATCTTCAGCGGTAGCGTCACCAGAGCCAGCTGATTTTGGTAGACTCTTGGGCGGTGACATTGTGTCATTGTCTGCTGCAGCAGTTGGCTGAGAGCTTTGCACGCTAGCAGCTGACTGGACAGGCAGCTTGAGAGATGGTCCTAGAAGAGGCGGTATGAGCCACGGATCCGATCCTCCATTGCTATGGCTAACGCCATCACGAGTGAGATGCTGCGAGGGAGCAGGGTTGGGGTTATGAGTAGCCGCCTCTCCCATGACAGTGTCTTCGTCCTCTTCCACAGCCATTGCGCAGAAACCTAGACGAGTCGGTCTATTTCTGTCTCTTAGACGTCTTCTGTTCACTCTAGCATGCCATAACCAAGCCTGTCGTCTTTGGGCAATTACGTCAGTCTCACAAGACCCCGAGCTTCCCTGGGCAAGATACCTCGTCGATAAAGAACAACTGGAAAAGTGACCAATAAGGGTCGAGCGCAAAAGACATAAAACAATTGAAATGGGCAGTACAATAACAAATAAGTGATGTAGGAATGAAGCAAGAGCCACAAGATGTACTGGGGTATAATGCAGAACAACAGAGGCAGTTTGCGTTGAGGGATATCCAACCACAACTGTGGAGGAACTACTAAATACTAGTAGTTCGAAGGCCTAGAAACTCAACAACGAAGACAGCCTGTGCTAGACCAGACCAGGGCGATCTAAGACAAATGTTCGAAAAAGAAATAAAGGTCCTCACCAGCCCAGAAGAACCACAGGTAAAGGTTGATCTACTACGTGCACACCAATAGAGGTGTTCTGGCGCACGTCCGGGAATCTTGGATTATGTACTCTGCTCCTTGGAGAAGCCCCAAAAAGCGTGGTTACTTAGCTTCCACACGTGACTACAGCTGGTCATAGACACCAAACAGGCCACTTGCAGCTAACGGTAGGAAACCTAACCACCACTAAGCTTGTGAGATCGGTTCATGTGGTTAACGGAGATGAATCGAACTGGAGGCTAGAATCAAGATAGTGAACGGATGTAAGGGAAGAAGTTTTTCAATTGTCTATCTCCCGCATTGACAACTTCCAACAATCACTTGCGCTCGTCCGAGAATTTCCCGTACTTCGCCGAGACCCATCCACTCACCATACAAGGCTAGCCACGAGCATAACTGTGTATATATATTCTGGAACTATTCTACACCACCTCCGAGTGAGCCTACTCCTGGTAAATACGCCATTATTTAAATCTAGTGAAAAGCACTTGCTGGGCGCGACTTGTATCCAGTATGAACGTCAAATCATTTCATTAAATAAGTACGTTATCATATGCTTTTTATGCGATATGTAGATCCCCGGTCAACAGGGCACTTTGTTATCCCACAGGCCAATTTCTCGGGGTGGTGACCTGATAATCCGGGAACGTGGGACAGTCAGGGGACTAGAATGTCTTGTCTATAGAACACTTCTAGTTTCTGGTCTCTGTCCTGATTCCTACTGGCCATCGACCTTGGAGATGTAGGCTAAAAGAGAACCGTTAGCAAAGGTTCAGACAGTCCGGGTTCAAGCCTGGAATAACTTACCAATGAGGTCAACAACACGGCGGGAGTAGCCCCACTCGTTGTCGTACCAGGAGACAAGCTTGATGAAGTGGTCGTTGAGGGCGATACCAGCCTTGGCATCGAAGATAGAGGAGTGGGCATCTCCGCAAAGGTCAGAGGAGACAATGTCGTCCTCGGTGTAGCCGAGGATGCCTAATCAAGTCAGTAAATATCGAAAGCAGGGAACAACCAAGTAAAAGATTGTGCTTACCCTTAAGGTCGCCCGACTCGGAAGCAGCCTTGATGGTCTTCTTGATGTCCTCGTAGGAGACGGCCTTCTCGGTACGGCAGGTGAGGTCGACAACAGAGACGTTGGCGGTGGGCACACGCATGGCCATACCAGTGAGCTTGCCGTTAAGAGAGGGAATGACCTTGCCGACAGCTTGGCAGCACCAGTGGAGCTGGGGATGATGTTCTGAGCGGCGGTACGGCCACCACGCCAGTCCTTGGAGGAGGGAGCATCGACAACCTTCTGGGTGGCAGTGTAGGAGTGGACAGTGGTCATGAGACCCTCAACGATACCGAAGTTGTCGTTGATAACCTTGGCAAGGGGAGCAAGGCAGTTGGTGGTGCAAGAAGCGTTAGAGAGGACGTTGATGTCGGACTTGTATTCCTTGTTGTTGACACCCATAACGAACATGGGGGCATCAGCAGAAGGAGCGGAGATGATGACCTTCTTGGCACCACCCTTCAAGTGAGCGGAGGCCTTTTCGGTGGTGGTGAAAACACCAGTGGACTCGACGATGTAGGCAGCGCCAGCGTCCTTCCAGGGGATGGCAGCGGGGTCACGCTCAGCGAAGAAGCGGATCTTCTTGCCGTTGACGATGAGGCCCTGCTCGTAGGTCTCAATGGTGCCATCGAAGCGACCGTGAGTGCTGTCGTACTTGAGCATGTAGGCCTACAGCGTGGAGATCAAGTTAGTTCATGGGCGTTTTCCAATAAGGCATCACTCTAGATGATCATGAAAGGCACGTACAGCATAGTGAGTCTCAATGAAGGGGTCGTTGACAGCAACAACATCAACCTCACCGTGGGCGATGCTGTACAAGCACACTTGGTTAGAAGCTTTCTCCAGTAGAAAACGCTCGAGTGGGCGGTCCCATTGATCGGGCACCGGTCTGGACCATGGAGAATCCAACCATAGCCGGGGAGGCGAATAGGATCACTTACGCGTTACGGAAGACCTGTTACCTTGTTAGTCTCAATGAAGTATTGCCATGTCGTAGAAAGGATGGACAACTTACGATACGGCCAATACGACCGAAGCCGTTGATTCCAACCTTAGGGGCAGCCATTGTTTGGATGTGTCTGTTGGTTGGCGGGGTAGCTGTCAGTCAAACTGTGTGGAAAGGGAAACGGTAGACACTTCAAAGTGGCTCTGATATACAAGACGCAAAGGGAACGATGGGCGGGAGACGACTCACTTTAAGTAAGAAGAGAAGACAAAGGGATAAGGTGATTGCAGTGGTGTGTATACGAAGAGAGTAGAAAAGGGGAGAAAAGTCGGACGGCGGGGGAGGGGGAGATAAAAAAAGAGCGATGTTGACTGACGCAACGACCAGGTCACTAATCCAGTCACCGGGCGGACAGACGGGGCAAAAGCTACAGCTCTCCTCAAGATCCAGAGTGAAACGGGTCCTTGTCAGCTGTTTTCCCGGCTTGCGCCGCTCCCCAGCTCTCAGCAGCCCTTTCCGGTTTCATACACCGGGCAAAGCAGGAGACTTACGATATTTGGGACTCTGCCTCTCCTCGGCACCTACCGGTCTGGCCAATGAGCGTGCCTCAAGCCCAACAAGCCGGGTACTCAATCCTACCATCTCGTGAATCTTTTGCCAGTTTTTCGGGATCGAGGGGTCAGTACTACCTAGGCTACGAGGAAGACGATCCCGGCTATTACTCTATCTTTTTGTCTTTGGTTCCGTAGTCCAAACAATTGAGGGGGAAGCGATACCCTGGGGGCCCATACCTGAGGCATCCCCATAGAGGGGCATGATGTAATTGCAATCTGGCCATACATAATTCTAACATTGGACCACAGCATCCCACCCAAGCTTAATGGATGGAAGCAATGGAAAAATGAGGGGCACTCGGTTTGACCTTTCCGTTTCCGGGCCGACATATCGGACCGGATCAACTATGGTCCACTGCCCCTCTTCCTCTGGACTCTCACATCATGGCTTAGCGATCTCTCTTAGCCTCTTCTGTTCTCCTGAGTCCTGAAAAGATTCACCGGTAGGCAAATGAGGATCACGCGCTTGTCATGGTTTTCTACTTTTTGATTTTCAATTAATCATCTTCTTTCAATCTTTTACTGTTGTTTATTCTTTTAGAAAAGAAAAAAAAAATCTAATTCAAAATTTCTGACTTGTTGGGGAACCTAGATTTCCCCCCATCTAGAACTTTGCATGAAACTGTACTTGGGGTTTGAGCCAATAGCCTTGCCTCTGTCTCGGTGATTTTGATAGTTACTACTAGTAGTAGTAGTACGTAGTATCACTCGCCATGCATGGAAAATACATAAAACGTCATTATACAAACTCAATGTGCTTGTCATGTCACACCGTCAGGCGATATTGAATGACATCCACTTAAAAAACGGCTAGTTTAATTCAATCAAAACGATCTGGCCTAAAAATAATACCTTCAGATCTTGTTTATACTGGACGCCGCTACGGAGTACATGCAGTATACCATTGTAGACTCAGTATCAAGCCATCAATCATTCCAGACTCTCCTCCCCCCCCCCCCCCCCCCACAGTCTTGTGGAAACGGCGTCTAGATTAAACCAAATCGTCGATCTAAGCCATTGAGAAGGTCATCCATCATCCAATCCCCAATCTATTCCCACACCCGTGGAAAATGAGGGTGAGACAGCATAATAACATAGCCACTAATGCTATAATATCCAACAGTTAAGATACAGAATCAGTAAACTTGCAGGCTCGGTCGGACCACGGTGTGGCATGTCAGCGTGCCATCATGCATGGTTTATTTGAGTTACAAATTGAACTTGGCAACTCACCGGTGTTTCCTCTATCAGTTGATTTGCCATCTAGAGAGCTACAGTTAACATGTTCTAGATAAGGGTAGATCTGTTGAGACTGGGCCATGGATTTAGCGTCTCCATGCTCGACCCAAACTACTCCATACATATACCCACAGCACTGACGTCTATGCACTCTTCACTGCTCGTTGTATTTTGCGTCGAGTTCATGGCATGATAATAATTGCATGACAAGGGGCCATACTAAAATCAGATGAGAGCAATAGATACCGCGCATTCGGGTATCTCGGTCCTTGTTGCAGGTCACTCTCTATCAAGATATGAACAAAACGGTATACAATCACACAAAGATCGACTAGATGCATGTCTAATATTTTCCTCGGGAAAAGTGTCAACATTATCTCAGCAAGGCAAAAGGATTCCAATTTGGTCCTGCTCCCACTCAATTTACATCGCGTCTATAGAATACAGAAGGAGCAAAGCCATGTACTAGGTACTCTAGCATGCTGTCCACAACAACCAACTGTCTACTCTTCCTTGACACCACCCCTCCAGTTCTTCTCCGCATTCTCAACGGAAGCCTTGTCACTTTTGATCTGACCTTGGTTCAAGAAGCTGTTGGAGGCCTTGAAGGGGCGAGCGAGGTCACCAGTAGCGGGCTTTCCAAAGACGTGGATCTTGACCAGGTTCGATTCCAGAGCGCTCTTAAGGGGAATGATCGACTGGATCAGGAGAGGGTTGGTGTACTTGAAGTACAGGTGCATCACACACATCATACCAACACCCATCAGTTGTCCCTTGAACAGCTGGCGCAACTGCCCCTGGTCGTACTCCATGTTGGTAGTGGTCACCGGACGGGGCTCCTCGTTGCTGCCGAGAGGAGCGGGCTCCACGTACTTCAACGTAGCCATATCTAGTAGCACCAATCAGCTATCTATTTACGGTGGTCACAGAATGAAGCGTGGACATACCCTTCTTGCTCTTGATCTTGGACTGAGTGTAGAGATAGATACCCAGGATGAGCACGTTGGACAAGACATACATGCCACGGACGACAAGAAGAACATCAGGGTCCTCAAATGGGATCTTCTTGGCCAGCTGCATGGCCACCACGATGATGGCCAGGTTGGTACTGTGATTCATGGATGGTAAGCATATGTTCCAAGTTAAACTAAACCATTTGTCGCAGATATTTAAACAATAGTGACAGCATCTACTTACATTTGAGGAGAAACCATGTTGACTGCAGTGTTAAGTGACCCTTTTGTGACGAAGCAGAAGCAGCGCGCGAGGAGCTTGAGCGGATGAGTGAAGGATTGGCACGCGTGCAGGGACAAAATCTTCCTCAAACTGCGGAACTGGACCCCCGGGGAAGTCGGACAGCTGTCCAGATAGGCATTATGGCACGTGATAGAGACTACGCCTAAAAGAGATTCCCGCAAATTGCCACAAGTGCACAGCCTGAGGCGATAGATTCACAGTAATAAGGCAGCTAAATCACCTGTTTGCTTAGATAATGCACCGAGCAACCGTCATGCTTTGCACCCTTCTCTATCAACGACAACAGTGATCCGGTGCTGTTGATGAACGTCCACTATACAGCCTCTCTGTACAATGTCAGAAGCTCTGGACAAGGTTCTCACACTGCCAGAATACATTAAAGACAATGTCTCATATCCAATAACTTACCCTGCCTGAGAGCTGAGGCACTACTGAGTGACTCCTCAGCTATGGCACAGGCCCTCATCACTAACGCCCATAACTCTCTTTCCTTTTGGATGCTATATCAGACCATGTGGTATCATATGGATATGCAGTCGCGATTGAAAACTGCTTAGCTGCTTTGTTCATGTCACTAATTGACCAGCAAGTTCACCTTCCAGACGTCCTCCATCATCTGGAGACTTGAGATGATGTTCTGGGTTTCCCAATCGGGACTAGCGCCCTTCCGCGCTCAACGCCGTCTTTAGCGACCAGGATGGCTTTGACATTTCTGACTCCTTCATCCATCAACAACGCGCGTGCCGCTGGTGTATCGAATCGCTTCAACGTCCACCATCGTGCTCTATCACTTCAAACACCCATTTGACGCGACATTTCCATCTCTGCGACCTTAAATCTCGACGCTTTTCAAAATGCCTGGTGGAAAGGGAAAGTCTATCGGCGGAAAGGCTGGTTCAAAGGACTCTGCGGGGAAGGCTCAGAAGTCCCACAGCGCAAAGGCCGGTCTGCAGGTCAGTAGACGTATCCTTCTCGTTGTTCCTGCAGTACTCGCGTTGCTGCTATTTCCGGCAACTCGCGGGAGCGTGTGAAAAGCTTCTGGTCTCGAACTTTTTCTTCCCTTTCTCACTTGCCCCTCGCTCTGGTCTATGGCCTCTTTCTCGTCTTCAATCCTGCGTGACTTGTGTCAAATGGTTGCAGTCAGGGCTCCGTGGCGTCACTATGAGTGGGAGAGTTGGTCGTTTCCAGATGACCTTCGTCACTTGCACGCTAAATTTAAACCTTTTGCGACCGATCATGAGTACTGATTGGTTTCTGTTTTTAGTTCCCTTGTGGTCGTGTTAAGCGTTTCTTGAAGAACAACACGCAAAATAAGATGCGCGTTGGCGCTAAAGGTAAGGCTCATCAGTCGCAAACTATGTAGCCATGATTTGTCATCTTTCATGGGCATCACTAACGAACAATCAACTAACAGCCGCCGTTTATGTTACCGCTGTGTTGGAGTACTTGACTGCTGAAGTTCTCGAGCTTGCCGGAAATGCCGCCAAGGACCTCAAGGTCAAGCGCATCACCCCCCGCCACTTGCAGCTTGCCATCCGTGGAGACGAAGAGTTGGACACTCTCATCCGCGCCACCATTGCTTTCGGTGGTGTCTTGCCACGCATCAACCGTGCGCTGCTGTTGAAGGTGGAGCAGAAGAAGAAAAACAAGACTGAGGCTTAATTTACGGCGGATACCCCACGAATATGGCGTTTGAAATGATGACGATTGAAAAGGACTCCGGGATATGTCTGTTACAGCGATCGACCTTTAGCTGGTTCTAATTCAAATCCGACCAGTTGCAAAAGAAAAAAAGAAACATTCAAAGAGGAAAGGGAGAACTGGATGAAAACGCATCTTTCATGACAGGGATTTCCAACAGACGCATCCCCCATCTCTACTCTTCCCTACCCACGACGCTGCAGTTCGCGATTCTTTTTCTCTCTTGTGCTCTGTTTTCCTCTTATGTGCTCCGTTCATACCGTTTGTCTCGAAATACCAGGGCGCTGTAATGGGAAAAGGGTGAATATCTTGGTAGTGGGCTTATTTTCGATTTATTTTCAACTTTCTGTTTCCCTATTGTCCCCCCCCTATTCTTTTTTCCCAGTGAACTTTATTCTAATTGATTGATGGTGTTGAGTGCTTCCGATTTATCCACCTCAGTTACCATTACCACGATGTCTCTCTTAAACTTGACGGACTTGTATTGTATGAGTATAGTTGGCTCTTTCACGAGAAGCTAAATAAAAGATAAAGCCAGATCATACTATCCCGGTATTCTTCTGGATGTCTCTATTTTCCAAACATTGAACCATGATCTGGAGCCGGGAGTTCCCGATTGTTAATCACATTATGAGGGATTTATACATAATTACACCGTGAAGTTTTCTTGTATTGTGCTTGCTATTATCAGAGGTCAAGACCATTGTTAAGTGATGCATTGTTGCCGCTGAAGAGATAACGAGCAACCATGATTGGAACGTTCGAAGCCCCGTTCAATTGCATCGTAGAATGAACGAGCTGGTGGGGACTAACCCAATTGATAGTTTTACTGGTGGGAATTATGCGAATCGGGTAGAACGTACATTTATTGGCGATCATGGGAGACAAATAAGAGTACTAAAGCAATACGGAGAAGGAAGATTTCGGGAAATAAAAGGCATATTTCAAACAAGGCCCTGACCATATAAGGGTGATTAAAAGGAAAGCGAAAGAAGAAAAAGTAGAGATCTGGTTGTATCCGGAGACAGAACCTTTCCAGTGGACATACGACAGGGAAACGGACTGGAGTCATTAGACCAGTATAGTCATCCTGGAGTAGGGTGTACCTATTAGTGCAAAATAGGACTCAGTCCATAGAAGGTGTCAGTTCTCTAGACACCAAAATCCACCAAACTTGTTTTGTCACAATCCCCCTTTCGTCCGCCACACATTGCAGGCTAGAGCTGAATTGAACATGCAAGCCAAAAGGGAGCAAGGAGAAAGAAACGTATCAAGAGATCCCGGGAACAAGCACGTTAATTCACTTGGCAGAGGCTCAGATGCCTGTGGGAAGAGCGTATAGCGTGTATAGTCGAGACTGAAACAAAAGCAAACATTAAACAATGCATGGCGCCCCATATACAAAGTAATCCAAAGATGCAAATGCTGGTATGTCATCTCTCTTGCCATGGTAAAAAGACATCGGTATTTTCGTTCGTCCTTTCATCATCTTCCTGTCCTGTAAGTTAAAAAATTTTGCTTTCCGCCGACACAAATTGCGAAAGAAAAAAAAAATATAGATAAACAAATATTTCTGGAAGGCGCCCTGCGTCTCATAAAAATTCAGGAGCTTTCGTTCTTTTTCCGTTTTTTTATTTTGTTCCGAGAAGTAAAGAGAAACATATAGTCCGTTTAAACAGCATGCCTGCTGGGCTGCCCCAAAATAACGTCTAAAACTTGGCTAGATCAGAGAAATTTCTTTTGTGGTTCTCTTGGTGAGTGTCATCTCGTCATCCCTCATCGAATCGTAAGCCAATAATCGCAGAACAGGATCAGGCCTCGTGATATAAGAGTCATATGCGTCTTGCGGCAAAGCAATCTAACAAGTTTCGTCGTTTTTCATCTCCCGTCAAAGTTGTTTACTCCACAATGATTTCCACGCCAGAGTTGGTTCGCAGTTCGTCGCTGCCACGCGATTGGTGTCCGTTTGGGCGTCGAAAACCTGGGCCCTTTTCGGGCAGGGGGCCTCTCGGCTGCCTAATTGGCACGCGCTCCTGTGACTGTCCGTCAAATCCAACTCCGATGGATCGGTTACTACCGATGGGTCCAGCACTGGAAGGTTGACTTTCCGGCTGTTCCCAAGAAAACATACCCCGCAATCTCCGTGGGCTTGAGCTAGGCCCACCAATTCCAGTTCCCAAAGAAAGGCTGCTGAGACTATTCACCAACAAATTATCATCCCGTGGCATGCCCAGAGACGATCCAGACGGGGCAGGCGTAAGCGTCGGGGTGTTCGAGGCGCCGCTGGTGGCAGCATCATAATGCTGGAGACGTGCGCCATTTGACTGCAGGGCTGCCGGGAAGCTCGCAGACGAAGGCACTGGCGACGGCGTATAGGAACGCAAGTCTGCGAATGACTTCGCCGCACGTAGATTCTGGGCATTGCCAAAATTGCCAGGGGAATCGAGAACACCAAGGAATCCCGACGCCTGTCCTCGAAGGGTGCCGTAGGGGGCAGGACCATCGTTGCGCGCTTCGCTAAAATCAATCGTCGCCGCGCGGTTCAGTCCGCGACGAGCTGTTTCGGCAGGCTGGACTGCAGCGGGAATCGATGACAATGGAGGGCTCACATTGGTGCCAGGAGCCACCTTGAACACATGCACCTGTCGCTGTTCCCCAGATCCGCGAGAAGCGTGACCCAAGCCCATGTTATGGGCAAGAGTGTGGACGGTGCGACGCTGAACTGGGGAAAGGTTCGACGGGAAAACCAATGTATCGCGACCGGTATCTTCCTTGAACAGGAGAAGTTGAGAGTAATACGATAGCGTTGTGCTGTCATTCAGGTCGACCTCTGCGAAATGTAACGTGCGATTAGCGCCAGCCATAATTGAAAACACGGTCATCGAAAACAAAAACTACGCGAAAACTTACCTAGCTTCTGGCCACGCTGAGAGACGGGCGACGGAGATGTCGCGGGAAGATGGGAAGTCAGTGAGGACATGGAGCTCTGGGTTTGAAGCTGGGAGGTCGCCATGGGCCGATGCTGTTCTTCCAACTGGCCCCGACGTTCGCGCTTCTCGCGTTCGATGCGTTCGCGCTCTTGAAGCGGCAGCATCTTCTTGTACTCGACCCTCAACTTCCGTCCTTGAAGCTCAAAGTGATTCAGAACCTCGATCACTGTCGCTGTTTCCTCCGCGGATGTAAAGTTCGCGAATGCCAGTCCCCGAAAGACGCCGTTGTCAAAATGGTAGTTGAACGCATACGGCAGCGGCAAGTTCAGCTCGGTCATCAGCTGCACGAGCTGCTCCTTCTTAACAGCGAAGGGGATATTCTTAATAACGATGGCCGTCGGAATCAACTCATCGTCGGCCTCCGAGGATGCGGATGCTTCTGGGCGCATCGCGCTGCTTTGAAGGGGCCCGGGTCCAAGATTCGAGAAGGTACTAGGCATACCCGGCTGCTGATCAAGCCAGGTCTACTCTCATGGATTAGCCAAACCATTGCACAGGGTGATTTCGAGTTTTGCGACATTGTACTTACCGTAGGCAAGCCGGACCTTCCTGTGCGAGACGTGGTCTTCAAGCTGGTGGAGGCCGACCGAATGGCTCCAAGAGCCTGAGGGTTGGCAAAGCCATTCGGGTTCCAAGTCTGCGAACCGGCAAGATCGTAGGCATAATTGTTGTTGTGTAGTGAAGGGTTCAGACGCTCCAGACGGCCAGTCTCATAGCGAGACATAGGATCCTCGTACAGATTCACGGGCATAGGGCCGTACGCGTCAAACTGTCGCGAAGGCTGACGATGCAAAGGCTGCTGGTGACGCTGAGAGCCAGGAGAACGCGCTGGGTTGTCGTGATACATTTCTTGCGCTTGCTGATAACTCATGGCGGCTAAGACAAACGAATTCCCAACGGGCAACCAAATTCTAGAATGGGGGCACAAATATCCACCGCACAACAATCCCGTTTCAATATCCCAATGGCGTGAACGGACTACTCAAACATAGGAGCGACCGAACAGAAGAAAGCCACTTATCGAAGACAACCGGCAGAATGCGAACGGCGCTGTCGAACGTGGACCAAATTCTCGATTTGAAAGCGTGGGGGAAAAAAATAATGGTTCTAGACACCAACGTCACGGCGGGTTGAGATCTCTGGTTGGCGTGGGAGACAAGTCAAAGCCAAATAGCAGTCAAAAATGAGACTAAAAACACAAAACCGCTCACAACTGCTTGTCTCGTGGTGCTTTGGTCATCAATGCCAGGCGTTCCTCAGGCGTCAAATTTTCGGAAACTTTTTCTTTCCCTTCTCCCCAAGGAGAACTCAAAGCCAGGGAAATAACAAGTGAGATAATGCGAGGAGAAAAAAGAGAATAAAAGAAAAACTACCACGGAAAAGAAAATACAAAAAGAAAAGGAGCAAAATAACAAAAAAGGTTAAAAGGGGGAAAGGAAAGAAATAAAAATTGCCACTACCCGGGATTAAGAGTAAGTTGCCCAAGAGGGTTGGAGTATGGGCGAGGTTGACGGACCGGTGGTGGTGAGGGGAGAAAAAAAAGGGAAATAAAAGAAAAGAAACAGTAATTTGATCTCAGAGTTGAGATTGGAGGTTAAGGCAGGGAGGTCGTGACCCGGGAGATTATTGGGGGGTGTGGAAAAGCACGCACGCCAAACGGCACGCAGAAAAGCCGGAACACGGCGACCGCTTTAGTTAGGTCTGGTCGGTCCTTCCGCGGATCCGCCAAGTCGACGAATTGGATAGATCGGTCTGCGTTGATGGTAATGGCGGGCTTGACGGTGTAAGATCTGTTGAGAATGCTGGTCGATCTGTTAGAATTAAATTCTTCTCCCAATTCAGTCTGTGTCCAGTATGGCTTGAGATCGTTGCAATCACTGTCAAATTACACACCCCTGTCTTGTCCAGTCCACCAAAGACAGAAGCAAAGCAAACAAAATAATGATAATTGAAAATCAATCCCCTAAAAAA